ATAATTTATTAGAAAGGTATATTGAATATGTTACATAGCACTTAATTAAGCACTAACCATTATCATAATTAATAAAGTGTATTTTAAAATTTAGTAATACATTTTTAAATAAACAGTTAAAAGTAAAACAGTGAAAGACACAGACAAACCTCAAACAACATAATATTATTATTATTTACAATATTATTTTGTTATGAATACTCTTATATGAATGATAACAAAGACTGCTAACTGGAAAGACACCCGCTCATGCGCCCGCCGAATTAGCAGAATTCGCGCAATCAAGGTGATAACGGATTACGCACACTAATGTTCATATTTTACTACTCGCACATAGACACAGTATTAATTTATATGTCACATGAATTGCCTAAATTGTACTCCTTAAAATATGCTACGGTGCAGCCCTCTTAAGGGGCCTCGCAATGCCATTGATTTAAGGAGAATCATTTAGGCAATTTCTAATCTCGTCGTCACCACCCGAGATCTACGTGTTAGTCGTAAATGATTATTAGTGTGGGTCAATTGTAGCGGTGCGGAGGGCTCTCGCACGCACTCGCACACACAATATGTCAATATATAATATTGTGATCATGCAAAAATGTTTATTTTTCACTCAAACATACGATTCTAATTCCAACATTACGTCTCAACGATTACCTCGATTTTCATTCTGACAAAATATTCTTATTTTCCACAGCATGTACGAGGGATCGATCGAGGCACATTTTTAAAATTGTATTTAGTTAATTAAATATTTAAGGTGAAAATTTTGTACTTTTTTTGAATTTTTTACAATTTTTATTGCAATTTAAATTAAAAAAATTAAAAATGTGGCTCGATTGTTCTCTTGTATATATTACGGACAATCAGAATATTTTTTCAGAATGAAAATCGTTATAATTGTCGATACGTATCGTTGGAATTAGAAACAGTAGTTTTTGACAAAAAAAAAAGTGGTAGTGAGGCCCCTTAAATGAATAAATACCGATATTTTAATATTTATTCTAAAAATAACGTAGTTACATGTAAAATTGGGATTTATGTGGAATGGTGTATTTCCCCGAAAATAAATCACCTGTATTTTTAAATGTTATATAATTAATTTTACTTGTAAGTTGTTTTTTTTTTTTTTTTTTTTTTTTATTAAATAAAGTTTTACTGACATATGTCATCTTAACTTAGTGTTGATTAGATACATTTTTTTTTTTTAACATTTGGAAAAAAATATAACAATTAGTAATAATTAGAAAAATTATTAGTAAAAATAGAAACTATATCGACTACGTTTTAAATATTTACAAAACGGAAGAAAAAAAAAAAAATAAAAACAAAAATAATAATATATTAATAAATAATAGTTATAACAATAGGTCGTGTGGGCGTCCACGCTTGAGTCGGCGTACAGAAGGTGGGTCACTTAGCTTATAAAATTTCGCACTATGAGCATAATTGATGTGATCGAAGAAGTTGATAGTTAATTTTTTTATGTACTCTGTTATTGTGGGTAGCTGAAAATCTTTGTGAAGTGCATCATTTCGTACAAACCATGGAGCATTAGAAATGGTTCTCAAAACTTTTGATTGGAAAACTTGTATTTTGTGGATGTGGGTTTTTGCACAATTTCCCCACACAGGGACTGCGTATAGAAGTAACGGTCGTAGAATTTGTTTATATAATAAAAGAGAACATCTCCAGCTTAAAGCAGTTTGTCGGTTGATCAATGGGTATAGTATTTTTAGCCTCTGGTATCCTTGTTGTAGTTTGGAGGTGATATGTGGATTCCAAGTTAATTTTCTGTCCAGAACTACACCTAGGTATTTTATTTTAGGTGACCAAGGAATATTATTACCACACAAATTTAAGTTACCAGGAGTTTTCGGGCGTCGGTTGGAGAAGAGTACCGCAGTGCTCTTATGGGGGGTTTAACATAATTTTCCATTTATCTCCCCATTTTTGAATTTCATTCAGGTGGGCTTGAATATTTTGGGTTATTGTTTCGGTGTCTTTGGCGCTTGAGTATATAGCACTGTCATCAGCGTATAGTGCTACTTCAGTATTATTTGTTGTAGGGAAGTCCGAGACGTATAAGTTAAAAAGTAAAGGTGAAATTTTTGAACCTTGTGGTACTCCTGCGTTAATTTGTTTTGTTCCCGATGTAGTATCGTTGATTCGAACTTTAAAGCAGCGATCGGAGAGGTAGGATTTAATTAGATTATATATTTCGGTTGGAGTGTTTAATGTTTTTAATTTATATAAAAGTCCGTCGTGCCAGACCCGATCGAAGGCTTGGGCTATGTCTAAGAAGGCTGCCCCTGTATGTAGTTTTTTTTCAAATCCATCATTTATATGCTCCGTTAGTCGCAGAAGTTGTTGAGCAGTGGAGTGGTTTGATTTGAATCCAAATTGGAAATGAGGGATAGCATTTATTGCATTTAAGTAATTAGTAAGCCTTAAGTGAATAATTTTTTCAAATATTTTTGAAACTGAGGACAGTAGGCTTATAGGTCTGTAATTGCTGGGATTAGAATTATCTTTACCTGGTTTTTTGAACAGTATTATTGTGGCCAATTTCCATTCTGTAGGAAAGTATCCAATTTTTATTAGGGAATTGAATAAGATGGATAAATATGTTATCGCTTTTTTGGGAATATTTTTTAGGATAGTATTAGTGATTAAATCGTGTCCGGGTGATTTTCTTTTTGGTAAATTTTTGATTATATTTAAGATTTCGTTAGGGCTTGAGTATGGTAAAATATTTTGTGGTTGAATATCAGGCTCATTAAGTTTTTGTTGAACTAGATAGTTTATAGAGTTATCTTGTGAGCTGTTTAAAGTGAATGCATTTTCGAGAGTATGAGCAAGCAATTCGCATTTATCAGCTTCTGTATTTAGATAAGCATCTCCCGCTTTTAAGGGGGGAATTTCATTGGTATTCGGTTTGATTAATCTTTTGGTTGCAATCCATAAATTAGAGTCAGCAGGGTGGATTGTAGATAAATATTTTTGATAGCAGTTAATTCTGTGTTCTTCGAGTGAGTTTTTAACCTTTTTTGTTAGATAATTTAATTTTTTTCGATCTTGTGGTAGTCTATGTATTTGCCAGAGTCTCCTCGTTTGATGTTTTGATTTGATTAATTTTAATATTGTATGGGGAAGTTGATTAGGACTGTAATTTGTTATCGTGTTTTGTTTTGCTGAGCATGTGTCGGCCGCTTGGCAAATGATTTCGCGTAAATGTTTTACCGCATTATCTGCATTGGGAATGTTCAAAATATTTTTGGGAATAATTAGATTTTGAGTGATATGTTGTTTGAATTTTTCCCAATCTGGTTTGCCGGTGATAAGTTTACGGGTGGGTGTTGAAAATGATAGAGATGCATCTATTGTAATTTTTACAGGCAAATGGTCTGAATCGAGTTCGTATAGTGGTTCTTGGTGAATGGAAAAACGAATCGATTTTTGTAAAATTACGTCTAATATATCAGAATTTCTATTTTGATCATATGGGAAGTAGGTAGGTGTATCTGGAGCACTCATTATCGTGGAACTGTTTGAGAGATAATTGAATAATTTACGTCCGTTTGCATTTGTAACTTTGCAGTTCCAAGTCGTGTGTTTGCAGTTTAGATCACCAACTAGCAAAATTCTTTGATAGCTATTTAATATTTTGTCAAAGTCATTTGTGTACATTTGAAAGCTAGGTGACTGGTAAGCACTAATTATTGTTGTGATTGAGTGATTTATTGAAATAGATATTGCTACTGCTTCAAGAGTTTTCAATGTAGGTAGATATGATTGTTGATGTTTAATTTTTGTTTTAATTATTATAGCGACACCGCCTGATGGTCGTACCGCTAGCCTATCTTTGCGATAAGTGGTGTACCCATTAAATTTAATTTTGTCATTAGCGATTAGATGTGTTTCGCTTACGCAAGCGATATCGACATTATGTGCTGATAAGAACGCTGCAAATGTGTTACGATTTTGCTTAATTCCATTGGCATTCCAATTAATGATAACTAGCTTAATATTATTTAAATTATTAAACGACATTGATATTATTTAATAGAGCTGGTAGATTTTCGATAACTTTTTTAATAATCTGTGAGATGAGTGAGCTGATTAGTGGCATTAATGACTTTATAAGCTCGTTAGTGATATTTGAGTTGTTGATTTCTTCTTTTTGATGTTGATTAGTTTTTTTTTTTGTTTTTTCGGCGTAGGTTGGAGTGTTGCTTAAGTTTTGAGTTATTTGGATTGGGTCTTGATTTTGGGTATTTATGTGATCGACAGTATAGGCTGGGGTTTTAGTATTATTATTATCGTTTAAATTGCTCGATTGCATTATATGCTTAGGAGCGTTCCTGAAACGTTTGGAGCTATTTTTAATTTTAATTTGCTTATAAATTTTACAACCTCGATAATTGGCAGGATGACTTTCATTGCAATTGACGCATGTAGGTGGGGTGTTTATGTCTTTGGTGCATTCAGAATAATGGTGGTTTTCTAGGCATTTGACGCATCTAGGGGGAAGATTACAAAAATTTTTTGTATGTTGGAAGCGTTGGCAGTTTTTACATTGTGGTATGGACGAATCGCTTTTGCGGCTCTCAACTGCGATAACGCAGTGTAGTAGGCGATCAAGTAAAAAAATATTTTTTTCCGATTTGTCTAGTAAGACAGCTACGATTGGGATAGGGGATTTGTAACGGTTTTGGAGACGAGTGACCGATGTGACATTGAATTTTAGCTCAACAAGGGCCTTGAATATTGTTTCTTCAGGGATGGAAGTTGGCATGTTTCTGATTATAACTGATAGATTTCGTTCTTCGGGAAGTTGATAAGTGTGGTATTTTATTTTAATTTCAGATAGGTATTTGGTGATTGTACGATAGTCGTCGACAGTTGTTAGATTTAATTTCAAGAATACATTTTTATTATTTATGTTAAAATTGTCTACTATCATAGGTGTGATCTTATCAAGGAACATAATGTACCTAATCATCGATTTCATATATATACAGTGGAGGAATTTTTTGTTTTACCTCTTCGAGATCCATGTCCTCTTCTTCGAGGTTATCAACATTTTGATCTTCATGATTTGCGATTGGTGTGTATCTATTTTTGTTGGTTAGCCGCGGAGACAGGGCCGCGCTACTAGTACGTTTGTGGCCCGAATGTTGGGAAGTATTGGTTTTTGCCATGTTGCACCATACACTGAACTTTGATTTATAAACACGCGCGACGGTAAAGATAAGCGAGCGGGATAGGTGTACACACTACCTGTTACGATGAACGCCGCACGAAGACTGACTTGTAAGTTGTAGAAAATATATAGACAGCAAACCATTGACAAATGAGTAATGACAATATTAATAAATAATAATTACGAAAACATGTAAAAACAAAATTTCATTGGCGGAAATGACTGATACGATAATATTATATTTGTATACTATTATAAATTATTTATTATTATTTTTCAATTTTTCGGAAAACGTTTTTTTTTTTTTCGGAAATTTTGATCCATTTATGTGTACCGTACCGTCTCGGTCGTCTGTCTCAAGTCTTTATAGTAGGTTTTTCCGATTTCCGAAATCAGGAAATCAATTTGACAATACATGTTAAATAAAGATATTATTATCTGCCTAATTTTGTTAAACATATCTTTGTAAGTAAATGGTAATTATTACGGTACCTACGCACACAGAAATCAAGTTTTAAAAAAAAAATAAATGTTGACCGTTCTGATTTAAAACACGGTTTACCGGCACCTTTAAAAAATTGCAGTGGCAGCCCAGGCACCCTAGGCTGCCACCGTTTTGATAATTTTTTAGTTTTTGTTACTGGTGAAGACAATAAAGTTATTGCACGATGAATGTTCAGATAAAAAAAGTGGTTTCAAAAGCAAAGGGAATTTATAAAATGTTGATACTGACGCACTAAATACCATACAAGATATGTGTGCATTTATAAGACAAAAAATTTGGTAAATATTTATCCTTACATTGATATTTCTTTGAGATTGCTGTGTACACAAATTAGCAACTGACCAACAGAAAGATCATTCTCAGTGCTAAAGAGAGTAATTGTGATTATATAATATTATTCGTGGGTACCTACTTGAAACTTCTAAAGTGTACTATTATATCTATGATAGTATCAGGGTTTGTTATTGATGTTGATGTATAACGTGTTATAAGTACCTAATGGATATTGTGATAATGTGATATGATTAATTTGAAATTTATTATAGGTCAATTTATGGATATGTTTATAATTTGTCTTAAACCTAGACTGACATACCGTTTTCGCTCAGAATCGTTTTTCTTATACAATGATATTGTATCATTGAATTCAAATTTAATAGCATCCATTATACAGTGACCCACTTGTAACCTACTGTACAGCAGAGCGACATCCACTTACCCACTTTTTTATTTTTTAGATTCTGAGTGAAACGATGAATGTATTGATTTTACAATGATGTGTGTTATTAAATTTTTTTTTGTGTCTGTCATCACGTTTTAGGACAGTTAAAGTGCTTGGATTTTCTCCAACAGTAGCTTTTCTGATAGGAAAGTGAATCTTGTTGGTACTTTGGGGGGTCAAAAATTTCCCAGTAGTTTTCACAAGCGCCGGGAAAAACAACATAAAAATTAAGGAAAAACGGGAATTTTTACGCAAAATCGGTTTTCCAAAAAATCGATATTGGGTTTTGGTGTTACTCTAAAAGAAACGAACGTATATACATGAAATTTTCACTGGTTGTTTAAATTTGCATTTTATATACACGATAACGTTTTTGAAATATTTTGATTTATTTTGAACTGTTTAGGGACATTTTCATTTTCCATCTTTTTTTAGTTTTTTTTCTGAAAATATCAATAAAATTTTATTTGTTGGTTGCGAAAGCTTGAAAATTTAATACAAGGCTCCTACTATATTGTTTCAAAGGCACATCAAAAATATTAAAAATCCTTGGTCACGATTTTTTTTTATAAGCATTTAAAGTTGGAATTTTGACAAAATATATCAAAATCTCGAAAATGATCAATCGTTGGAATTAAAAAATTATAAAATATTCAGTTTTTATAACTAAGAGTTGAAAATTTAAAACAAAGATTCTCTTTAATTATTCATACTGTAACCAAAAAATCTAAAAAATATATAAACACACTTATTTTTTACAGACATTTTAATTTCAAATTTGGACGAAATTACATATTAAAAAACCTAGAATAACTATTTTAGTTATTTTGTTGTGATTGTATAATATTATTCGTGCGTACTTAAAACTTCTAAAGTACACTATTATATATCCATGATAGTATCAGGGTTTTTTTTTTATGTATAACGCGTTATAAGTGCCTAATGTAATTATTTTGGAATTGATTATAGGTACCTATTATATTTCAATTTTTTTTAATAGCATAGATAAAATATATATAATAAATATTTTTGAGCGTTTGATGTTCATATTCTTACCATACTGGACAGTCACTTGATTTCTCATGTAGCGGTTTTGTTATTTTGTTGTAATTCAAAAACGAAAAACTTACCTTTTTTTTTTTTTTTTTCTATGAATATCAATAAAGTCTTATCTGTTGGGCCAAAATGTGTAAAAATGTAATACAATTAATACCTGATATTATATTGTTACAATAGCAGTTGAAAAATATTAAAAATACATAGGCACGCATTTTTTTTATAAGCATTGAAAGTTCAAATGTTGACTAAATATTTATCAAATTTCAAATTTAATAATTATTTTGTAGTTAAAAATGTATAAAATGTTCAACTTTTATAGCTAAGGATTGAAAATTTAAAAATAGGTTCCACGTACACAGTTTATATATAAATTACTCATGTTAATTAAAAAAGTTTTTAAAAGAAAAGAAAGCTTATTATATGACAGATTTAATTTTACAATTCAGTTTGTAAATGGATTATTAGAGTATGGGTCATAAATAAAACCTCTATTAGAAAATTTCAAAATTCGCAAGGAGAAAATAAAGTATTCAATATTGATTTAAGTGATGAAAGCTCTGAAATTAGATGTGTAGCATTCGGATTCATGGTTGATAAATTTTACCGTATTTTTTAAGTATGTTTAGAACGAAAAATATTTTATTATTCAAATAAATATATTCCATAGGTATATGTATTTATAGGTATATGTATTTCAATATTTTTAGATCCAAAATATTTACTCTGTAACCAATGGGTCAATATGAAGGGCATATTCAAATTTTAATTGTCTAGGTCATGAATTCGAGATATTATTAACTGAGAAATCTGAAGTCTAAAAAATTCAAAGTGATCTCAGTACCATAAAAAAATTTGAGTTTGAATTCATCAAATTTAAAAATAAACTTGACGTAATAGTCGTAAAACAAAACAAGACAGTAGGTAAATTTTAAATTAAAAAAAAAATAATATACATTTAATTGATGACAGCGATAAAGCAAGGCTTCAACAATAAAAACCATTAATATTTTTACATTTACTAGATAACACTGACCTTATGGAATGATGATATAGATAAATTCCTTAGTGAAACTGATAAAATCATAAAAATAGAATTGCGCGATGTAAAATATTTTGCTCTATTACAATCATCAAAAGCAACTTATAATGTAATACCATCTAAAATAACAGGGTATTTATTTGTATAATATTAATTTATGATGTTCATGAAATTTATTATTTTTGCTAAAAGTTTCAGTTTCTATGGTACCTACACATTAAATTATGGCACAGCGGATAAGGAACAAGAAGAACCAATACCATCTACATCAAAAATATAATTAAAGATAAATTAAATTAAAAATAATGTCAAAAAGTAACTTTGTAATATAATTCTATATATATACTATAATTAAAGACATATCAAATCTAATTTTTTTCACATTCTTCATAGTTTTGAAATACATAAAAAATATTTTTTTTTTTTAATCAAAGTTGGTTTTCTTGAGCTTATTGTGTATTTGAAATTATAGGTGTTTATAACGCTTTATAAAGTATAAAGTCTACGTTGTCGATTTTTCATTTCTGCCATTCTTTTTCTTAAAGCTAAAATGGTTTCTTTCTTTTCAGCCAACTATAAAATAATGTAATTAAAATATTAATTATTTTAATAAGTAATTAAAATACAGGGTTTTCCATTTAACTTATGACACTCGTTCTTACAGAAAATAAATGTTTTTGAAAAAAAATGTATTTACATAATATTAACTCGTTACAAAACAATATTTTTATCAAAATTATTATACAATAAGCCATTTTAGGTTTTTTAACCTTTTGAATTAAAACATATATTTTGATTTACATAAGCATAATATTATTTGGAGTATGTATACTTCATTGGTTAAAGTTTCAAATACTTATAGCTAGAGGGCGGAGTTTTATGCATTAATAACCAACTATTGAGGCTCTAAAAATCTTAAAAATTCATAAATATATTAATATATATTATGCACTAAAATTTTCAAATATGCACTCAAAAATGCATTTATTTTCTGAATGTTTAATTTAAAATTATGAAACGCTACTATTAATACTTTTCTTTAAAATATCTTTATTTTGTAGGAAGTTTTAATCTGTAAGAAAATTAGGAATCAATTAAGTGAACGCCACACGGATATTTGTCCTCTTTGTCCTACAAATGCATAACATAACAAATGTACGCACAGCAAATAACTTTTAGCTCTGTTAGTTTAAAAATTAGAGTGAATTGACCTATTATGAAACTTGATGGTAAGAAAATTATCTGTGTAACCAACACAGATAATCTTCTTACCATAGTTTACGATAGTTCAATTTTTTAACAAATTATACATACATAATATAACGTAAATTAAAAAGGTTCATAACTCACTTAAATACAGTATAATCGTAAAAAAATTAAACACCACAAGAACACAGATAATGTTCTTACCATCAAGTTTTATAATAGTCGATTCTCTCTAAATTTTAAACTAACAGAGCTAAATGTTATCTGCTAAGCTTAAATTTGCTATATTACGCACTTATAAGATGGAGACAACAACTGTCTGTGTGGTGTCCTCTTAACATCAAAAGTGTCTCATAAAAGAAATTTACTTAGGTAGGTCCATACCTAAATAATAATTTGTGTTTGGTCGGTAGTTTTTATTTATAAGAAAAAAATTAATTCCCTGGGAAAACCGTTTACACCTATGAG